CTCTCTCTCTCTCTCTCTCTCTCTCTCTCTCTCTCTCTTATGCCTGTAAACGTTCTGTCGGAGGGCGCGGTGTCCCGACCCTCCACAATGTACCAGGCACCTTGCTCATGACACTCCGCGGTGTACCAAGCACACCTTGCATGCGGACAATTTCTATTCCATGGTGCACCGGATACCCAAACTGTGCCCTGCTACTGGACCGGTCCGATTGGCGCTCCCACAGCAAAAGGGTGGGGGTGCGCCACTGGACTTTCCTTTGGTCCACGTGAACTCGTCGCCCCGCAATACAGCAGAGCACAACTGGCCTGCACCCGTGGTAGCGGTCGGGCTTGCCCAGAGACACGAAAGTAGAGGGACCCATGCGGTCTTTTTACTGCGAGTCGAGCTCCTCTTAATCAGGTTATGGCTTGTGCAAAGGAACCATGGTCTCAATCAGAAGAAAAGAAAAAAAAAGGAAATTGAGAAAAGAAATTAGAACGCCACATTTCAGAGTTGTGTCCTAATCCGGACCGCTATCTTAATTTCAGATAATCCAAAGGCTACTGAGTGCCACGGCTTTATGATCTTTGCGAAGACGTTATTAGGAGAAATTGATGGTATTTTCACACTCGTGATTCTACAGGGAAAAGAACGGTTCTGCATTTGAATTTGAAACTACTGATGGGTGGCCTAGACTGACCAGACCCCTCGCGTTTCGGTTGCCGAAGGCGCGACCTGCTAAGTACTAGACACCGCTGTGCAGAACCACAAAAGGGGGCAACCGACAGCCGTTTGGTAGATGGCTTATCACCCTCCCCCGGAAAGGTCATAAGCCCCCTCCTTGCCATCGGACGCGGATACCCGTTAGGTGTAGTTCAATGGCCTCCCTTAAAGGGAAGAAGGCGCTGGTTGGTATCCCGTTATGGGACCACTGTGCGCCAGACAGACCTGCTATTGTTTCGACTTAAGTTGAAAAGACAATAAGCGTGGACTGCAAGGCTGTATTCTAGAGACGACTGTTGGGTGTTAGAACCCCGAAGTCTTTTCTTTTATTCAAAATGATTATGGTAATTCATTTCAACCTATCTAACGTGGACTTCCTTGTTCTCATTCAGAGCGCAGGGGACCTCGCATTTTCAAAGTTTATAAAAGAGGTAGCCTTTAGACTACTCCGCTATTAGTCAGGCTGTTTGAGTGGTCCGTTTTGGTTTGTGCGTCGGGATAGTGGAGCGGAGTGGTGAGGTGCTCAGACCACGGTTGATTGTACGTTAGTGCATAGGCTACTGATAGGCTCCGACTATTCGTAGGGCGTGAGGCTATGGCGTACCGTGAAGGTCTACGTGGCTATAGGCCGGAGACCTACAGGTCTCTGGTACGCCGGACCTGGGAAGTCTTTGGATCACCACAATCATGGACTTCGACGCCAGGGAGGAAAAATTAAAGATTAATGTCGAGGGGGAGAGAGAGGAGGAAATGACAAAAGATCAAAGATTACAGGCGGCTATTACTGAGAGCAAGAACAGAGCGACAATGCGGTGTCAAAGAGATGGGGTTACCTCATAGATGCATGTGACAGTCTCATGCCACGAGACTGAGATTTCCACTGGGACCACCGAACATGAGCAGCAGCTCCTGGAACGTGATTCTGAGGCCGAGAGCGAGGTTAGTGATGCGGAGACCCAGTCCTTGCATGGACTGGAACAGTGGCGACAAGATGATCCGCCAACTGCACCTGTGGAGGACGGTCCTGAGGCCAGTTCACGGCAACAGAGGAACTGAGTACAAGAGGTTGTGGGCAGTTACAATCCGTGGCTAGTGGGAGCAGACATGCGGAGAAGAGTAATAGTTGTTCCCACAAACTACAGAGGTCGGTCTCTCGTCTCAAGCACGGGGCGTGAAGAGGACAATGCTCACGACATTCGCGCCATCACTCTACTGCAGATGGATGCAAAGAGTGTCAGTTTGCTTTGTCTCCATCTCGACATTCTCGTTAGCTAATATGTCTTCCAATTGAGTTACTCTCTGAACGAGAATCCACATTAGAGAGAGAGGGAGACTGCAGCGGGCCTTCATTTGCCCTGGCCTACAGCCAAGGCCTATTCGGCTATTTGCCCAGTTCGGCCTGTGGGACCAGGTCGTGGCCTGACCCCACAGGCCGTGTGCTGTTCTAGTCCTGCCCGGTACCACTGTCGGTACCACGCCAGTCCAGTCCAGTCAGTCAGTCCGCTGGGGGTATACCCCAGCAGTTGTCTGTTTTTTGGCATTCTTCACTTTCGCAGATCTTGGAGTACGTGTGTATCGAGTCTGCGGTCGGAGCTGCGCTGTCCCTTCCAGCTCCATCTCTATCTCCTCCTTCGTCCACCCTTCTTCTCCATCCTGTCGGACCGCCATCCCGACGGGTCCGGCACACTGGTACCAGAGCAGGCGTTTCTCCCTGCTCCCCTCCCCCATCCACCCCCTTCATCGTTTCACACGTGGCTTGAGCAAAAAAGCTTGCCACTTCACGTTTATTATGACACCAGTGCACATTTTTAATCATAACTTCTGCATCCGGTGTCAGAATTTTTTTCATCTTTAGCTTGTTGGAAAGCTCTCGACGAGCCGCTTCCAACGAGCCATAGATTGTTAAATTTTGTGGGCTAGTTTTGGAGCTACGGTCGTTCAAAGATCGCGATGTTTTTTTGCCAGCTCCAAAACCGCGCGCGCTCGGTTTTTTTGACGAGCGCTATTTCTACAGGCCGCGGCTGAAGTCGCGCCATATCTCGTTGGAAGCGCCTTCGAAAAAGCTTTCCAACAAATCCTTTTTTGCCAAATTCTGCCCAGTGGATCAAAAGTTATTGGCAAAAAACGGATTTCCCCTCTCTCTCCTTTCTCCCTCCCCGTGGCCACGAGAATGCCACGTGGCAGCACTTGAAGACCCCCCTGGCTAGGGGGCTGCACTACACGTGGAGAATGTGAGTTTGGGAGATCAAGGTCTCTCCCAAACTTTCCACTTGGAAGATCTGATCAGTCTGATCAGATCTTTCTGTCGTACTAGCAGCTTGTAGCAGTTTGAAGACCCCTTCTTCCAAGGGGTTGCTTGAAGGCCAAGATCCACTGGATCTTGGTGATCTTGTTGCTCTTGGCTAACCAAGAGCCTGGTATCATTGCTCTCCACTAACCTACTCTCCCCCCCCCTCTCTCTCTCCCCTACTCCATCTAATCACCTTTTCCAACGCTACCACTACTCTCTCCTCCTACCTCCCTCTCCACCCATCTTCCATAACCCTTTTCTCTCCTCTCCTCCTACTATCCTTCTCTCCCATTTCACCACCCTCT